CGTTTGGGTTGGTGCCATTTTTGTTGTGTGAATTGTGCTGATGTAGGCATCAGAGCATGCGTTTGGGGTACATGGGGCAGGGCTGCTGGGGAGGTCCGTCTTCTCACCAGCACAGGGGCTGCCCCGTCCCCGCCCTGCCAGCAGGAATGAGGCTGCGGCTGCTGCACCCCTCCCCAAGCTGGTGCCTGTCCACCATTCCAGCGGGTGTGGGTTGGTGTGCCACGCGGCACAGATGTGCACCTTCCTGATGGACAGTGAGGGTGACCCCTTTTCATGTGCTGTGGCCCTCTGGAGTCTTCTTGGAGACGTGTCTATGCAGACTCTTTGCCCATTTTTAACTGGGTAAGTTGCCTGTTTGTTGAGTTCTAGGAATTCCTAATGTGCTTGCCCATCGCGTGGGCTGCCTTTTTGCATTTCTGATGGTGTCCTTAAGAGTTCAAAATGTTTCAATTTGGGGGCAGGGGATGTGGCTCAGGCGGTAGCGCGATCCCCTGGCATGCGTGGGGCCCAGGTTCGATCCTCAGCACCGCATACAAAACAAAGATGTTGTGTCCGCCGAAAACTAAAAAATAAATATTAAAATTCTCTCTCTCTCTCTCTCTTTAAAAAAAAAATGTTTCAATTTGGGGGAAGCCAAGGAAATCTATTTTTTTTCTTGTTGCTTTTGCTTTTGGTGTGATAGTTAAGAAACCTTGCATAATTCATTGTCATAAGATTTATGCCTGATTTCCTTTCAAGAGTTTCATGGTCTTATTTATTTCTGTTAGGTCCGTGGTCAACTGAGTGAGTTTTGTGTATGGTGTGCAGTTGGTGGGCCCTGTGTTGCTCTGGGCAGTGGCCCACTGTCCTGGCCGCTTGTTTAAAACTCAGTTCTCTCCCCATTAAGCTACTTTGGCATCCCTGTCAAAAATCAGTGGGTCACAAATATCAGTTCATTCCCAGACTCTCAGTTCTCTCCGCTGATCTACATGCCTGTCCTTTAGCTTAAAGACAGCTTTGTTACACCTGGGAGGCACAGGTTGAGAGAAGCTTTACAAATGAAACCTGGACTGTAACCATGCGCCACTGAAGGTAGTAGAAGTTGTGGTCTGAACTAACCAGGCTGACCCGCTGTGAAAACAAAACCCAACATTTTCCGGAGAAATTCTCTGGAGAGAATGACATAACGGATTCATAAAATGTCCAATTTACAACCCCAAATTACTTGACGTACAAAGAATCATGAAAATGTGACTCATTTCCAAAGGAAAAGATGATCAACAGGGCTGGGGATGTGGCTCAAGCAGTAACGGGCTCGCCTGGCATGCGGGGGCGCTGGGTTCGATCCTCAGCACCACATACAAATAAAATAAAGGTGTTGTGTCCACCGAAAAATAAATATTAAAAAAAATATGATCAACAGACCCAACTCAGATGACCCAGGTGATGGAATTATCAGACAAAAACTTCAAAGCAGTTATCACAACCATGTCACATGTGGCTAAGGCCAACACACTTGAGGCAAATGGAAGAGCAGAACTTCTCCACTAAAGAGTGCGAGCAATGTAAGATAACGACACGGAAATCCTAAGCCAGTCCCAATGGCACAGTGATTTGAGTGGTAGAGGCAGGAGGATCACAAGTTTGAGGCCAGCCTCAGCAACTTAGTGAGAACTTGTTTGAAATTAAAAATTTAAAAAAAGAGAACCAAGGGCTGTGGGGTAGCTCAATGGTAAAGTACCCCTGCATCCTATCTCCAGTACTTTAATCAATTGTTAATGTCAGGCAATGTATATTTCATATAACCAAAGATAAAAATAGACAGTAGGGGGTCGTGGCTCAGTGGTAGAGCACTCGCAGAGCACGTGTGAGGCACTGGGTTCGATCCTCAGCACCACATAAAATTAAATAAATAAAGGTCTTGTGTCCAACTACAACTAAAAAAATAGTGTTTTTTTTAAAGAGACATTACAAAACTATAAAACAAAGCATAAAAATCAAATGTGTATTCACCTAATGATAGAATTTCAAATTGCAGGAAGCAAAACTTAGACCTGAAATGTCAAGTAGTCTCTTATAGTCAGAGATGTCTACATTTCTCTTTCACCAATTGAGAGAACAAATAGAAAATCTTAAGGACAAAGAAGAATTGAAGAACATTATCAACCAATTGACCCAACTGACATTTCACATCAAGATTTATGGATTGTAACTAATGTAATATCTTTTTAAAAAAACTTTTTTAGTTGTAGATGGACACGATATGTTTATTTTATTTTATTTTAGTAATTTTTATGTGGTGCCGGGGATCAAATCCAGTGCCTCACATGTGCGAGGCAAGCACTCTGCCACTGAGCCTCAGCCCCAGCCCACAACATAATATCTTGAAGGACATTTATAACATTACATGTTTATGGGCTGGGGATGTGGCTCAAGCGATAGCGCGCTTGCCTGGCATGCGTGCGGCCCGGGTTCGATCCTCAGCACCACATACAAACAAAGATGTTGTGTCCGCTGAAAACTTAAAAAAAAAAAATATTAAAATTAAATAATAATAATATTAGAGAAGAAAGAGAGAACATTACTACAGGCCCTATAGACATTAAAATGATTTTAAGGAAAGACTGCAAACAATTTTATGCTCATAGATTTGACAATTTAGATGAAAAGGATAAATCCCTACAGATACAAACTAGGATGGCTGGGGTTGTGGCTCAGCAGTAGAGCGCTCGCGTAGCACAGGCACGGTCCTGGGTTCGATCCTCAGCACCACATAAAAAATAAATAGATAAAATAAAGGTATTATATCTAACTACAACCAAAAAAATAAATATTAAAAAATAATAAATAAACAGGGATTGGGATTGTGGATCAGTGGTAGAGCGCTTGCCTAGCATATGTGAGGCACTGGGTTCTATCCTCAGCACCACATAAAAAAATAAATAAACAAAATAAAGGTATTGTGTCTATCTACAACTAAAAAAGAAATTCTTTTAAAAAAATAAAGATATTGTGTCCAACTACAACCAAAAAATAAATATTAAAAAAGATACAAACTAGAAATAACAGATACTAGAATAAACAGATGTACCAACTAGTTATAAATATACAAAGAAAAATTCTACCAAACAGAAAAGAGAGACTTAATTCTAGTTCCAAACTGTTACAGAAATTAGAAGAATAAACCCTTCAGGAACCCAACATTACCAGATATGAAAACCACATGAGTCCTTACAAGAAAAGAAAACCTCAAGGCAGTATCCCTCATGAACATAGACCCCAAAACCTCAACAAAACATGAGAAAAATTGAAGAGCCAGACATGTGGTGGCACACACCTGTAGTCCTAGCTACCTGAGATGCTGAGGAGGAAGGAACACTTGAACTCGGGAATTTGAGACCAGCCTGGGAAATATGGAGAGGGGTGTGTGTGTGTGTATGTGTGCGCGTGTGCGTGTTTGAATCCAGCAATAGATGGCATGTTGTTGGTTGGTTAGGTTTTTTAATTTTTTTTTTTTTAATTTTAGATGTTGATGGACCTTTACTTTGTTCATTTATTTCTATGTGATGCTGAGAATTGAACCCAATGCCTCACACATGCTGAGGCATTGGGTTCAATTCTACCACTGAGCCACAAACCCAGCCCCGATTGGTTGGTTTTATAGTACTGGGGATCAAACCCAGGGCCTCACACATGCTAGGCAAGCGCTGTATCACTGGGTAACATCCCCAGCAAGAAGAGGTCTTTATCCTGAAGTTACTGTTTATTCCAAGGTAAAACAAATGGGAAATGCAAGGTTGGTTCAACCTTCAGCCATCAATCAATTCACCAAATCAGACTAATGAAGAAAATCCTTATGATATTTCAACAGATGCAGGAAAAGCATTTGACAAAATTCAGTATCTATTTATGATGACAGTTCTCAGCTGCCAGTCAGAGTGGTGCATGCTTGTAATCCCAGCAACTCAGGAAGCTAGCGGAGGCAGGAGATATCAAGTTGCAGGTCAGCTGCAGCAACTCAGCAATTCCCACTAACAACAACAACAAAACATTGAAATGGAAGCATAGGCTAGTTTTACTGCACCTCAAACTGCAGAGCTCTGCTGCCATGCATGCCAGTGCTTGGTTAAGATGGAAAAGACACTGAAGTGTAAGATTCAGAGCTTACTGAAGTATCTGCTGGGGTCTTGGAACATGTCCCCCTCAGACAAGGACTACTGTAAAAGGAAACTTCCTACCTCTATAGAAGACATCTACAAAATCCCTACAGACGCCATTGATACTGGTCTGGTGCAGATCAGTAATGTGTTCTTGTTTCCTGTGTGTTGAGGAATAAACACCTGAGAAACACCAAGGCAAGCGTAGCCAGCAAGTTTAATTTAAGAAAGTTCTAGAGGACAGACTCCCTTGAAGAGGAGGGGTCCTCGGAACCAAAAGCCCATGGGAAGAGGTGTGACTTGCTTTCTTCTAGACCCCGGAAGCCCCTCTTTATTGTGTTCCCTTTTTTTCCTGTAGGGTACGTGAGGTGCTGGAGGCCAGCGACCCTCCTTCTCTACTTGAGAACTAGTCGCCACCCTCTCCACCTCACCCTGTTACCTACACTGACCGCCTGACCTCTGCCCCTGCCTCAGTTGGCTGAGGAATGGGACACATCTTGTCCACTGAGCCAGGCAGGGCTGCAGGAGAATTGCTTTTTGGCAAAGCAAGGGCGTGGGGGTCAGGACACTGGGCCCACTTTATAGAATCATTCTCTCACCCTCGTGTTCCCACCATCCCCATCATCTGTCCCCTAACCCGTCCCACTCGGGGGTGAAGAGCAGAGTGGGCTGCCTATGAGATAGCAAGGAGGTGGCTACTCTCACACTCCTTCTGCTCAGCACCATATTGAGGCCTGGTCAAGGTAATAAGCAAGACAAAGAAATGAAATATGTATATATTGGGAAGGAAGAAATAATAATGCCTTCTGCATTGTTGATAACATGAGTGTCTACATGGAAAATATCAGAGGAATCAATAAGAAATCTATTAGAACGAATTCATTTAATCAAGTTCAGCAAAGTCACAGATTACTAGGTTAATGTACAAAATTCAATACATATTTGTTTGTTAGCAATGAACAATTGGAATCTGAAATCAAAATTTTAAACATGAGTAGCAGTTGTTCAAGTCCAGGTAGGATGGAGTGGTTTATGGTGGATGGAGTCTCTCACTAAGAACTAGAAAAGCAGGGCTGGGGCTGGGGCTGGGGCTAGGGCTGAGTGGTGGAGCACTTGCCAAGCATGTGTAAGGCACTGGGTTTGATCCTCGGCACCACATACAAAAATAAATAAAACAAGGGCATGCTGCCTTTCTACAACTACACACACACACACACAAAAAAAAAAAATTAAAAAAAAAAAAACTAGAAAATCCAGACATGGATACAGAAGGCATTTCTCCAAAGGCATCAGAAAGCTGCAGAAGCAATAAAGACTGACAGGGTTATGATTCAAAGAGGGAAGCCCACGGAGAGAAGAGCCGGCCATCTGCAGCCAGCGTTTGCCAAGTTTCTGTTCATGCTGGTTTAATGACCAACCAGAGATCAAGGGGCGTCTGATCATGAGAGAGCGTAGACCTGAGGGCTGGCCTTCCCTCCAAGTCTTGACAAGTTGGGAGGCAGAGAGGGTGTTCAAGAGCTCAGTGAAAGCCGAGTCGTGCTGGTCTCAGTGCTGAGGAGGGAGGGCTCCCGTGTTCCCAGCAAGCATGTGGCTTACTGTCCTCAGGACTGGGCCCTGGAAACAGGAGCCAACACAGCAGATGGCGAGCCAGCCCCCCACTTAGTGCCACTGAGGTCGGGCTTGCCACGCTGTCCCTTAGGAGCCAGAGAATAAGGATTTTAGCAGTAGTGGCCTCTGTCCACTGAACTCTGCTGTTGTGGGGCAAGAGCAGCATGGCCAGCGTGTGGACAGTGAAGCTCCGCTTCCAGGGCAGGCTGCCGGCCTGCGGCTGACCCTCCATCTGCAGTTCTGACACCCAGCATTCAGGGACCACAGTGCAGGAACCCAGGAGAGAAGGCAGGATGGGGACAGACCAGAGGTGGCAGACAAGAGCTGGGAAATCCCTTTGATCATCGTGTTTTGTTCAAATAGAGGAAACAGTGGAGAAAGTAGATTAATGGTAGAGAATCTCATCAAAGAATCTGAATCTGCACAGCACAGACATTTAAGAATCTCTGCAAACCCTGAGCTTCCTGCCGTGCAGATCCGAGCACCGGCAGGGAGAGAGCAGTTCATTCTGGCTGACAGGCCAAGTCGCAACTATCCTGCTCACAAGCACTTAGGAGGTGAAGCTGCTGTTGTGACCAAAAGTGGCCAGAAGCCATGTAATGCCTAACAGTGCTGGGAGGCCCTGGGGCCCCTGGAGAAAGAACCCAGCCTTGAGACTGTCTGCGAAGGCCACTCAGCCTCTGCGAGCCTGCTTTGTCCCATGTGCTCTTCAGTGTCACCCAGCAGGCTCTGCCTCCTCCACTGTGCCCCCTTGGAAAGAAGTTGGAGACAACACAAGGCCACCTTCACTGCCATGCCCAGGAGCAGAGGTAAAGGAGGAAAAACAAAGCAGAGGTAAGAATGAGGACGAGTTTGAAAACAGCTGCTGTTCGTCGAGGCTGGCACCTCATGCCCAGGGCATCCAGGCTGGGAAATGGACGTCTATGGCATACGGAGATTAAATGACATCAGAGGGAAACTGAGGAAAAGTTTGAAGAAATACCCCAGACCCATGGGTTGGTTTCCAAGACCACCAGGACAACGACACTGATGGCAGTTTGAAGCTGGACGGCTGAGGGCTCGCGAGCCCGGAGCTGGAGTCAGTGGAACATGCATTTGGTCCTGGAGATGAGGACGGAACTCACTTGATAACATTGGAGACGATGATGAAGACACTGATCTAAACTGAACTCAACACTTCACACTTCAAGTTTTCTGAACACTGTCCTGCAGTTTGAATTTTGGCCATAACCCTCAAAGAAGATTAAATCTTCATCAGCATGAATGTAATTTGTTAAGGCAGACTGATTTGCTTCTAAGACATTCGTTTCCTTAAAAACTGACAATGCTGAACTACCTTAAGTGAAATGCTAAGCCCACTTTGTTCTATTGATGTAATGGAGCTTATGGATTGAAGAGCACATCTATTTAAAAAAAGAGAGAAAAAAATAAGGCCTTGCCACTGTCTCTTCCAGGACACCGTGGCTTGCGATGGCAGTGTGTTCCCATTGTGGAGCCCTGCTCTTCCCGAGGAAGCATGGTGGTTCTTTGGAGAATCTCTGATTATTATTTGGATTGACAAGGTGTCAAGGTATCCCGCACAGCCCTGGGGAAGGGGAGGCAGGAGCTGTGCTGGCTGTGTGAGAATGCAGGTCTTTGTCCTTGGAGCCATGATGGCCACTGCAGGGCTGCAGCAGGAGCCATGGGGTCAGAGTTGTACTTTGAAACCTCCCTGGTGAGCCAGGCACAGGGTTGCACACCTGCAAACCCAGCAGTTTGGGAGGCTGAAGCAGGAGGATTGCAGTTTAGCAAAAGCAAGGCATGAAGCAACTCAGTGAGACCCTGTCTCGAAATATAATACAAAATAGGGCTGGGGTGTGGCTCAGTGGTGTGGTGGAGTGTCCCTGAATTCAAGCCCCATTACCCCGGGGGGAAAAAAAACATCAACTCACTGGCACGGAGGCTGGTAAGGATGAGCCAGGGGAATCAGGAAATCAGGTACGAGATCACTTCCTTATTCCAGGGTGGCAGATACAGCAAGAGTTGGACAGATTGGAGATTTAGGGGATCGAAGCTGGCAAGACGGTGGGTAGATGTTCTGGGCTAGAGGTTAGCGGAGGAAGGTGAAGGAAGAGGAAACAGGAGGAGGGCCCCCAGGTCCCGAGCTCATTAGCTGGCAATGCAGCAGGGCAGTAACCTGAGTGGAGAACTGGAAGAGGTCTGGCTGGGAACTGTCTGGGGGGCAGACGGAGCCATAGCCGGGGCTCAGCTGAGAGGGCAGGGCAGGAAGTGCAGAGGTGAAAGGCACCCTGGTCGACCCAGGGGAGTCAGGGTGAGGCTGCACCCATAGACCCCCAACCCAGCCCCATGATCTGGGTCCCTGGAGGGACAGGGAAGAGCCAGCCCCAGAACCACCTCCTGGTATCTGCATTGCTGCACCATGTCCCCTCAGGCTGTTCTCCCCTTAAGCCTCAGTTTCCTGGCATGAAAGTGGGGTCACCAAACAGCCTGAGGAGCGGTTGAGTAGCCTTGGCTCAGCACCAAGAATGTACAGTGCACTCTGGGTGCACTCCTAGTGGGTGTGAAGTGGAGTCTGTGGTTTTGAGTCAAATGTCCCTGATGACACACCTGAGCATCCTCCCTGGTGGGTCCTGTCTTCTTAAAGGAGGAAGAATCCTCCCTAGAATTCCAGTGTCTTCATTCCAGTGCTCACTTTGGGAAGGGCCTGGAAGATACCTCAGTGGCCACCCAGCTCACACCCTGCCTGCTTTTGAGGGGCTCGGACCCAAACCTCAGCTCCCCCACTGAGCTGCATCTCCAGCCATACATGCCCTCTGGGTCCCTGGAGGGACCCAGCCTGCTCCTGGGGACCTGGAAAGGTGGCAGGTCTGGGCTTAGCTTTTCACTTAAGATAGTTCAGCATTATCAGTTTTTAAGGAAATGAATGCCTTAGAGCTGGGAATGCTGTCCTGGCTCTCGTGGGTGCCTTCCGGCACTTGTCCTGAGCATTAGCTGGCTCTAGGACTCTCCATGGGGCCGATGTCTCTGGGCGGAGCAGGTGAGACGTGAGCACAGAGCTAACAGAGAGGGGAACGTGGCCACAGGAGTTCTGACACTTCAAAAACACCTGCCTCACATCCCTTCCTAGCCTGCTCCTGGAGACCTGGAAATGTGGCAGGTCAGGGAGCAGTCAGGGGCTCAGCAGGGCAGCACAGTGGTCAGAGCACCCTTGCCATGGGAGACTCCTCAGCCTGGGCTTGATGGGGGAAGCTGCAGAGGAGGCAGCAGGGCCAAAGAGCACCCTTGCCCGTTCCTCTGCTGCTGCTGGGCCTTGGTCGCAGGTAGAGGAGGCAGTGTGGTGTGGTGTGGTGACAGCAGCAACAGCAGGGTCAGCAATGGCTGTGCTGGGGAGCCACACTGGACCCCATCTGAAAGAGGAGGCTGGTCCTCTGGCCAGGACCAGCCACACAGCTCTTCCCGTCACTCTCAGGCAGCACTTCAGCCTTCCCAAGAACCCAGTAACCCCTGCCTTTTCGACAATTCCTACTCTGCCAGGCCGGTGCGCATGGTTGCTGCGTGCCAGGAAGGGACCAGTGGTGCCAACAGAGCTCTGCCCTCCACCCCATCACCTGCAACCTTGGAAACGCCCCTCCCAGCTCTGGACCTCTGCTTCCCTTCCAGTATTGAGAGGCTGATGCAGGGCCAGCCCCACCATCCTGGGCAGGCAGTGGCCTGGCTCCCTGGCTCCTGGCTGTGACAACCTCAGCCCTGTCTGCCTGCCAGAGCCACACTGGCCTGGGCTTCCACGCCGTCTCTGCAGGTAGCAGGGGGGACTTTTGCTCATTTGTTCCTATGTCTGTGTTGGCAGGCATGTGTCATGCTTCCTTACCAAGAGCACCAGGCGGTGATGCAGCTGGGGGGCCATCTAGGCCCCACGGGGCTCACAGCACAGTCCACACCACCCCCTTCAGATGCCCCAGCACGGCGTGGGCTTCAAGGCAGGCAGGAATCACTCAGGGACAGTCCTGACTGCCCCCAGGGTTTCTGAAACGCTGCTCGGGCAAGAGATGCAGCTCAGTGGGGGAGCTGAGTTTGGGTCCAAGCCCCTCAAAAGCAGGCCAGGTGTGAGCTGGGTGGCCACTGAGGCATCTTCCAGGCCCTTCCCAAAGTGAGCACTGGAATGAAGACACTGGAATTCTAGGGAGGAGTCTTCCTCCTTTAAGAAGACAGGACCCACCAGGGAGGATGCTCAGGTGTGTCATCAGGGACATTTGACTCAAAACCACAGATTCCACTTCACACCCACTATGAGAGCTAGAATTGAGACAAAATAAATAAACAAAAAGGGAAATTAAGTATTAGTAAGGATGTGGAGACACCGGAAGCCTCGTCCACTGCTGGAGGGAACGTTAAGTGGTGTGGCCACTGCACAAGATCGTTTCTCCAAGTCTTGAAAAAGCTGGAGGTGGTCATCATGTGAACCAGCAGTTCCAAATCCAGATGTCTACCCCAAACCCACCAGCTGGCACGTGAAGATCACACTGTCACAAGCACATGCAGTTTTAACATCACTTAGCATACAGGGTGAAGGCTCAGGGGACCCTCACTGTGCTGCCCAGTGAGAAGCCGGACATTGCAGGTAGTGCCATGTGGCCTTGTAGACAAAACATCTAGACAGGCAACTTCTCAGATAGGCGGTGGCCGGGCTAGGCTGGGCTGGGCTGGGATACGACCGCTCATGCTGTGGGGCTCCTCCAGGTTGATGGAAATGATGAGGACCAGATCGAGCTGGCGGCCATCCCTCACCATGAGTGCGCTAAGTGCCACGAGACTGGATGGAACTGCTAACTTCTTGCTGGTGATGTTTTGCTCCATTTAAAAGAAAAGTTGTCACAGGGCCGGGGCCCTTTGGAAACGTGAACAGGAGACTTCTGCAGGGTAAGCTCACAGGCCATCCCCAGACATTCTTTTTGCAGGTCCAGGCTAATCACTCCACTGCTCCGTGGCAGAACCGTAACTCACACTGTCTCCTCTTGGGCCCTAGGGGAATGTGTTACTCTTCCCTTCTGAAATGGCCAGCTTGAAGGGTGCACTTTCCAGAAGCAGAGTCCAGATTCCAGCCTGGTCCTACAAACCAAGTACACCTGCTCTGCACCTGCACTTGGCCACACAAGTCTGTGGCCTCCCACTTTGTCCCTGCTAACCACTGGCCGTAGCACCTGTCCCTCTGGGGCTGGTACCCCACAGCGCCTTTTTCTGGCTGTCCACCAGGTGGCAGTGTAGTGTTAAGCTCACCACCCCTCCCAGTCAGGGCCAGGGGCGGGCAGAGTGGCAGGACTGATGCCAGGTGAGGGGCCATGAGGCTAAAGCTGCGTCTCCCACCAAGCAAAGCCTATTCTAAAACCCAAATGCACTGATGCTGGGTCCCACACCTAGGCTGGAAGCCCCAGGGTGGGTCCCTTCCAGCACAAGCACCCTCGGGCTCTCCTCCTGGGACAACAGCCACTCAGAGAACCAGACCTGCCCCAACCACAAGGAAACACTTCCCTTGAAGGTGGCACTAAGGCCCTGTAGTAGCAAGCTTGTGTCCCTGCCGCAGCCTTGGCTTCTATGTTCCTGATGCAGAATCGAGAGCACAGGGTTTTCCTGTGGGAACTCTAGGAACCAAAGAAGGAAGGGAAATTACAACAGGGCTCTGGTGCTCTGAGTCCTGAGGCACAAAGGACTCTGTTGGCTCCTGCAGCCACAAGGAAAAATCTCCAAATCTGGGTGAGAACTAACAGCAGACTCCAGGGGCGAGCTGCCAAACCTTGCAGTATTCTTCTTTCAGCTGGCAGCAGAGAGACGTTTGCAAAGGTCACACCAAGTGGACCTCCCGTAACTTGAGGGTAAAATGTTGTCCGAATTCATTCAGAGGTGCTGTTTTCCCCCTGGGGTGGAATATGCTTTTCATCTGGACAGCTAGGGAACAGCTAAAGTTTTCCATGAACCTCTAAAAAGATCTCTCTTCCAGCTTTGTGAGGAGGAGGAGGAGCCTGCTGGGAAGTGACATTCTCAAGCTTAACACTCACACTCTTTTTCTCAAAATCTTACTGTTTCTGACCAGACATGCCAGGGACACCATCCCAGCTCTCTGCACTTCTCAGGGTATAGAGGCCCTGGCAGGAATCCACAGCCTCGGGAAACTGCTGGACCCTCACTAGAAATGGCACCTACCCCTCTCTGGGCCCCCATAGCTCCAGCATTAGTTTGGATGGAGATTGGCAGAGCATCCATGCAGGGACTTGGCCAGTGTCCCCAGCAGCCCTTGGGCAGCTGTCCCAGCTGTGCCTGCCTGCACACCCTTAGCACACTAGCTCCAGTCCCGAGGGCAGCCCTGTGGCCCAGTCTGCTGCGCTGGGGCCCCACTTTAAGCACATGAGCCTCCAGCCTGTTTCCTCAGGAGCATCTGGCCAGGTAAATACACTCCTTCCTCCTGCTGGTGCCCACCCCACTCACACTCCTGGGAGCTGGTGTTGTCTCTGCTCTGTAGCCCCCCCAAAATGGTCCCCCTTTCTTCAAGGCCCTTCAAGTACATTCTAGCATAAGCTGCAGAAGGGCAGCACTGTAGTGTGTCAAAGGCAAGAGACCCTCGTGTTTCCAGAACACCTGCACCCATGGGCTGAGTCTTTAGGGTCCCACAACCAGGGGAAGAATCCCACTGCCGTGTTTGACACTGAACAAATAAAGGCTGAGCTGCTGTCCAGTGTGTTCCTGTTGGAGCAGTCCAGTGTGTTGTCCATACGTGAGTGGACACATGTCCTACTCCCTATTCTAATCTGGAAGACCTCTTCTGGATGAGCTTTCTCAGGGAGCAAGAAGAAACTGTGTGGCTTTCAGGTTGGGTGAAGAAAGCATCAACTGCTGGGAAGAGGGAGATGGGAGACTCACAGCCCACCTGAGCACCGGTGCTACCCCTCCAGCGGGAACTGCCCATCTCGTCCCTGTCCTACCTCCAGGAGTGACATGCCTGGGCCGTGCCTGGCCCTACTGCACAATGACTGTGACAGGAAATGACAGGACAGACCAGACAGCCAGCAGTAGGCATGGGGTGCTTCTTGCACTTCACTGGAGTTACCCACACCATCTCTCCTCGTTTATCTGTAAACACAGGCCATATACAGGGGACATCCTGTGCTCTGTGTTGACTCTACTGAACTGCTCTAAGGGGACACCAGTCGACCGTCCAAATGTTTACTCACAGTGTGGTACAAGGGGGCAGTTGGATCTGTCTTCAAAAGTTCCCCCACCCTTTGGGTACTAAGGGGGTTTTAGGATCTGTTGCAAGAAGAAAAAGTCAGATTTTAGGGTTGAAGACAACATTTCAAAATCTGGCTTTAAATAAACATGGAATTAAAAAAAGAGAGCGAGTGAGCGAGCAAGGAGCCTCCGGCAGCCGAAATTAGAAGCAGCCAGCCCTGGGCAGGGAAGCCATCTGTGACTGTAAAGCAGCATGGAAATGTCTGGGCTCCTCACCCCGGCAGGAAAAGCTGGCGATGGCAGGTACAGCTCTGCTGTCTCCAGTGTGGAAGGACCCATGGGGACCCGCTCAGGACTTCTCCCAGGGTGTCCTCCAACTCCAGATTCTGAAGAGCAGAATCCCTTTCCCCACCCAGAAATATCTTCAACCACTTTTGAAGCACTGCAAGTCATTTGGGAGGCAGAGCAATCAGATGGCATCTGTCTCAGGGGACAAATGAAGGAATACAGGGGGTGTGAAGCCAAGTTCCTCTCTCATCTTTGCCCGGGGGCTGAGTGACCACCCAATCCTGAGGGCCCTGTGAGAAGCAGGTGCGCACAGCCAGCACACCCCATGCTGGGCAGCTGCTATCCTCTCAGCGTGCTCAGTCACAGAGGCGCTGACCCTGTTCAGTTTTCCTGCCCACCCAGTCACTGGGCAAAGCCAGCATGAGCTGGCTGCAGAGTCTCAGGTGCTCTGCACAGGGGTAAACTTCCCATCCAGACGGCACCAGGGCACCCACCTTCATTCCAAACCTGGCTGTGGTCCCAAAGCCTGGGCCGAGACCTAACCCTGCCATGCACTCCTCCCAACGCCTGGCCTGGCTCTACCCTCGTGGCCAAAGCAGCCAGTGCTGTTCCTCAGGCACGGCCTGTCCTTCCTCTGGACCTCGCCCTCCCTGCCTCACCTTGGCAGGCACAGGAGGGCCTGGCTGTAGAGGGCTCCATGGCAGGCCTATCACCTGCGGGAGTTATTTAAGTCTGCATTGTCACTTAATGCATTCTGATAGGTAAGTGGGTGACCGAGCTGGCAGACGCAGGATGACGCTGGGATGCAACAAGAGGAGCAGCAGCACCCTAGGAAGCTCGAGGCTCGTTCAAGCCCCTGTGCTCACCCCCACGCTGCCTCCCACGGCACCTGGAGTCACGCCGATGCGATGTGCAGGTTATATAAGGGGGCTGGTTGCTGGGGAACCTCTTCAAGCAACACCCCCCCACCAGGGCAGCAGGGCAGACTCCAGTAGGAGGCCACAGCTCCGTCCCCTCCACGCTCAGCAGAAAGGCCCTCTGCCCTCCCAGCCTGGCCTGTGTGGAGGCCGCAGCAAGCCTGGGTCGGAACTTTCCAGGCCATCTCTCTAGAAGAGCCTAAACTGGACCAAGCACAAAGGGCCCTAAAGAGCCCAGGAAGCCATGCCCATACCTTCCAGGCATGGAATCTCCCTGGAGACAGCCCTGCCCTGCATTTTCCTCCCAGTTGCACTCTGTGTCTCCATCCCAGAGGAGGTAACACCAGAGATCACTGGATGTGCTGAGCTGGATCTGCACCATCTATGGCCAGAAATGTGGCCCATGTTGTGGTCAGGGAGAAAAGCCCTGGAACCAAGTCAGGTCATGGACAGAAAACCTAAAATGTGGTCAGGAAGAAGGGTGGGAGGAGCTTACACCTGGAGGGTGGGAGGGAGGGGTCACCAGCTGGAACCACAGCTGGTGCCCTGTGACCTGAGGTCTTGTGAGCTGCAAGGCCAAGACCCTGAGGCCCCATGTACCTCCTGGACAGGACCCCTTTGCAGAGTGCTACCCCCAGGGTGCTGTCTGTCTAGCAGTACAGGACCACAGGGGCCACTGCTCCAACTTCTGATCACACAGTAAAAGAGAGGGGATGCAGGGTCTGGCAGCTTCCAGGGTGGAGTGCAGGCGAACTGGGGGCTTGTGTCCACACTGCTGCCTCCTTTTAGCAGGCTTAATCCCACACCAGTTTTATATTTGCACACTTACTGTAAAGTCTCCCTCACTGTCATGCAATAATGACCCATTAGGCTTAACTGAAATCCATAGCTTATTCAGATTTCTTTTACCTTGTGTCTTCTTTTTGTCCAGAATCCCTCATGACCTTTAGTTTTCCTGTCTCCTGGAGCCGCTGTGGGCCTGCAGTTTTGCAGACTTCCCTTGTCTCTGACAGTGGTGACAAGTTGAGGGCAGTGGTCATGGATTCTGTAGCCTGCCCTCTGATGGCATTTACCTGTTTTTCTCAGACTGGACAGGCACTTGGCGTTTAGGGAAGAAATGGAATAGGTAATGTGCCCTTTTTGTCATGTCACATGAAGGGTCCATGCTGTCACCGTGACTTCTTGCTGGTACTGCCCTTGTCACCTGGCAGTGACAGTGACATTGGATTCCTAGTCCATTGGGCTCCACCTCCCTGAGGCACCCTCACTTTTTAAAGGATAGCCTCTGACCCGACTCTCTGGGCAACAATTGAGTGTTCCTCATGTCCTGTCTAACCCTAACACACGGCGGGCTCACTAAGCTCTAGGTCCAGTTCTCCGGACTCTTCATGCCCCTCCATGGCCTGACTCCTCCCAACAGGGCTATGCAGCAGCCCCATCCTGCCATGCAGAGGAAATGGCTCCTGGAACTGACTCCTTGACCCTGTGTTGCACCCTAGGCCTGCCAACACCCTGTCTGACCCTGTCCTTCTTGCCCTGGCAGGCAATGGCCTAACACAGAAATGGGGCCCTGCCCTGCATGCTGGACAAAGCTGAATGTGCTGGAGGCAGCTGTGACAGCCCTGCTGCTGGCAGAGAACTCCCCACCCAGCCCAGTGTGTTCTTGCTGATTAAGTGGCTGGTCGGCGGGTCTGAAGAAGGCAGCCAACTGTCCTGTGGGTTCAGGAACCAGGAAAACAGTGCTCCCCACACAGTTCTGCCTAGTGACCTGGTCAAGGGACCTGTTGTGCAGGGAGGAAATGGGTAGCAAGGGTGGGGAGGATGTAGAGGAGGACCCTCCTGACTCTGTCCTGGAAACATGCAGACCAGCTCCTGTGTCTTCTGGCCTCTACTGCTCTCAAACTTTCTGGTTACTGATTACAAGTGCTCAATCCAGGGGTGAGAAAAGGGAGTAGTAAGTCTGACTGGGTGGACCCCTCCCTTGGAGAGAGACGAAGCTTCAGGCTGAGGAGCCAGTGTCCCCAGCGAGCCAGTCAGCATCCCTTCCCAGTCCCCTGTGATTTCCGCAAAGGACTACCCTCTCAGACCAAGCTCAGCTGAAGCTGGCTGGGCAGGTCAGCAGAAGATGGAGAAGAAAACAGGTTAAGGCTTCGATGGGTGGTCACTTCATAAAGGACCTTCTGTCGAGCAAAAACTCCCAATCACTGTGCTGCCTTGCCAGGGGAACAGCTTGCTTGAGATGCAAAGGCTGTCATCCTGCAATTAAATCTGAGACCCCCCTTCCTACGTGACGTTGAGATGAAGCCACTTACATAACACAACTAAAAATAAACTGGTGGAGACATGCACACTGACGCTCCCTGCCCCCAGCCCCTCTCCAGAGCTGCCCACCTGTGGTGCTGTTGACCTGGGGTCAGCAGCTAAAGCTTTGTGGGTCAGATTCAGGGTCCAAGGTTGCTCCTGCATCTGACTCTGCCTCAGTATGGTGCCAGTGCACACGGAAGGCCTGTTGCTGGTGCACAGGGCAGCAGACCTTCTAAGTCCAGAGCTGGGGGACTACAGAGCTCCATGGCTACAGTGCTCTTTGGGGACGCTCTGCCCAGAAGAGGATGGACAGTCACAAGAGAGAGGGAAAACCAGAAGCATGTGGATTCCTGTCTGTCTCTGCCCTCAGTGATTCTTGACAAGCTGCTCACTTGAAAAAAACTGCTCCCACCCCACCCCCCAAGAACCTGGGCTTATGTACTCCACCCCCAGCACAGTGCAGAAAGGCCCAGACCTGGGCCATGCAGTGGATCTGGGATAGTGTGTGGCTCTACGTCTCTGTGGGCCCAGACACCTCTCCTGAGGCTATTCCTCCTGAGAGGATACAGGAAGAGCAAAGCGTCTCCACCTTGACATTTGACATGGCTTCCTTTTGCTCATTGTGGACAGGGTGTGCTGATGGGTGAGATTCCACACATGGGCCAAAAGTTTCTAGCCATGCTGACTGCCAAATCTTTAGTAGAATAAGCAGATTCCTCAGCTGCCCGACACACTCTCAGAATCAGGAAAAAGGAACAAGGTGAGGTTTGTAAAGACCTTTGAGTGCCTCCCAAATTAAAAAGGGGTCGGGGCAAGGACAGCCTCCTAACCACTCCAAGCTGGTGGAGACACCCAGTCTGTCAGCCCACCTACCACTCGCAGGCCTGAGTTCTTACCTTGGTACACAACACCTCCACCTGGGCCACCCACACTGTGGGTGCATGTCCTTGGATGCTGGAGGTGCAGGACAGACAGAGGCAGGCCCTGATTGTCCTCCATGCCCAGGGAGTCCTGCCCCAAGCCTGTGAAGTGAAAGGTGAGATATGTGCTCATTCTCACTCTCTGCAGGGTTTCCATGGGCTCTCTTCTCACCACTGGCTTCTGTGCCAGCTGTCCAGACTCCTGCCCAGCTGCTAGATGAAGGGTACAGCCCAGGCCTGAGGATGCTGGAAGGCACGCTGGGTTCCAAGTTGGTCACTGAATGTGTTTTACCCCTGGAGAGGAGCAGGGTGGCCACAGGGGGAGCAAGCCCAGGACAGTAGTACTCCAGGAGCTTCCAGAAGGTGAAGTGGGCCAGGGCTATGGGAGCTCTTTTGGAAGGGCTCTCCTCTCTCTCCTGTCTTATGTCTCCTGGGAGCAGAAAGTGCATGAAAATTCTCCCCAGGTAGTGAGGAGACATCCCCGCCCCGTTTTTGCTGCCAGCCTCCATCTGTCATTCTGGTCCCAGACCCTCACTTTCCTTGGGTAAGCAGGGGTTCCTGCCTCTATTGGTCCCTGACCCAGTTCAGGTGGGCAAAGGTCAGTCCTAGGGCCCAGGTGTTAACATCAGTAGGATGTACATGCATTGCACCACGCTGGTCCACAGCCAGGTGAAAGAGGTGACGCTTGACACTTAGCAGTCTCAGGAGCCAATCAATACATGCCCTCATTTGTAAGATCCACTTTGAGCTGGTTTTCTGTAACAACCAAAAAAATCTAAGAAAATAAACACACAGGGATGGACCCTAAAACACTATAGTGACAGAGAAGAAAAGGGGAAGGTGGGGGCCCACAGCTGGAAGGAAAGACGCCAAGGGAGAGGAGGCAAGCTGTGGCCCTGTGCTCCTGAATCCCACTTCCCTTTTCTTCTTCCACCACGTGAAGCAGGGCAGTGCAGGGGGGCCTGCGGGAGTCCCTCGCTGTGTCTGAGAGTCTGACATCTGCCGTGTGAACCTCTGTCCTCTGGGTGCCTGTTCTTGTTGAAGGGATGAATGGGTGACCGCCTGTCCAAGAACAGGACGCTGGCAGAGGTGTCAGGCGTAATTAAAGGGGAGCGTGCTCTGCTGTTTTACAACGTAAGGCAAATAACTCCTCTATGTTCGTCTAATTTATGTAAATATTCCTCCAAAGGAATCGTACTAGGAACCCCGTGTGCCAACACGCCCGGTGGCCACCAGCAGCACCTCCCAGCGCCTTCCCTAAACCCCGGTCAGCTCCCAGCTCCCTCCCCAGAGCCCCCTCCTCCCTGCCTCCCGGATGCTCTCCCCCACCCCCTCCCCTCTCCGCAGAGGCCCCCAGGGTCCTCCCTCACCAGGGTCCTCCTGCCCAGACCGCCAGCCTCCAGAGTCCTACCTCCAACTGCCCCTGCGCCCGCCCACCCCAGGTCCTGCCCGAGAAACCCTCCCCAGGGTCCTCCCGGGGTCCCCTCCTCACAGAAGGCCGGCCGGGGTCACCGCCTGCCGCGCTGACTCACCCGCGGGCCCACGTTCTTGGCGCCCGGAGCTCGGCGCTCTCCTTCATCGCGCGCAGCCCGCGCCTCCGGCGAGGCGTCCGATGGCGGGACCCACTGCGGCGCCAGGCCGCGACCCCCTCTGGCCGGCCGCCCCGTGGAGTGCCGCCTCCACGCGCGCTCGCGCCGGCGCCCCCCGCGCGCCTCCCCCCACCTTCTGCTCCCTCTTCCTGCGCCGCCCCGCCCCCGCTCCCCGCCCCCAGCCCGGCTGTCGCCCGGGCCCCCTCAGGCTGCGCCGGGGCCCCAGCCCGTGCCGCGCCTCCGCCTCCTCCTCCGGATCGACACCACCATCGACCAATCGCCGCCTGGATCTGGTCACAGTGCCACGCCTCTGATCCCGCCTCCCGCCCCCATCTTTATAACTCACCAATGAGAAGGGCGGCGCAGGAGCGGGCCTAGCGGTTGCCTAGCAGCGACGGACGGGGCGGGGGTGGACGGCCGGGGGCGGTGATCCGGGAGCGGCGTGGGCGGGGCGCGTGGGCGGGGCCTGCGGCGGGGCGGGGTATGCGGTGTGTATAAATGCGGCGGCCGCCCGGCGCCGCGTTTTGTGGTTCGGGTCCGCGCGCTTCCTTGTTCTGCAGTTTCCGCGTCGTCGTTGTCGCCGCCTGCGCCTCCGCTCCGGTCTGTGGTGCAGCCGGGATCCAGAATAATGTCGCTGTCACGCTCGGAGGAGATGCACCGGCTTACAGAAAATGTCTACAAGGTGAGCCCCCAGCGCTGGGCTGTCCGTCCTGGTGCGCTCGGGCCCGACCAGGCGACCCCTGGGCAGAGTGGCTGGGGCCCTCGGAGGTCTTCCTGCGGGGCCTCCGCATGCTAGCGTGGTGAGCCCAGCTCTGGCTGGTCACAGGTGGCCGCGCCCGCCATAGACTCCTCCGCCCGCTGCTGCCCGCACCGCCCCCAGTCTCAGTCCATGGTGGGTATCCCCACCCCGACGGCGCGGCTCGGCCCCCGCGCACCCCTCGGTGCGCCTGCCTGGCGTCCTGGGGGACGGAGCAGCGCCTGGCCCTGGGAGCCCTCGCAACCGGTCCCGGCCACTGTAGACCGGAGTGGAGCGTGGGGCTAGGGGGCAGCGTGGGGGCCGCGTGGGGGCCGCGTGGGAGCCGTAGGCCTCCGCGGCGTGTTGCCCTGCGCCTGATTGGTGCGGTGGCACAGTGGGACTCTTCCCGGCGCGGTTAGCCAGTCTTTGGGCACTTCTCAACAGGCTTTCCCTTTCTACAACTCCTTCCCCGTGTTCATGGACGTGGCCCGAGGTGGGAGGTCGAGCGCGGGTAGGTTGGATGGGTGGACAGATAATCCATCATCTTATGTAACCGCGGAGGGAGAAGACTAATTGTGTAGGAGGCTGACGCGCCCGCCTTTGCTTGTGATATGTGTTAAGAGTCGCATTCACATCTTCATCTGTGAAAATGACAGTTTCCCATCTAAGAACAGCAGAGCCCCTAGAAGCCTCCTCTCCACCCCTTTCCCAGTCATGTTTGTGCCTTGTGTGCACATGGACAGGCCCTTGGTTTTCTGTTTCTCCAGCGTGGTTCTCACAGGCAAGGCTCCCACCCCCAACATCTCAGCTCTGGGCTCTCAATGGCACCAGTCCCACTGCAGTTCCCCGGGGCATTTTCTCAAGAGAAAATCCCTGTCCTGGCTGGTCCATGGCGGACTTCTTACAAAAACGTGCTTTATTTCAAAACTGTGTCTGAAGGTTAAGTGAAAGGTTGGCGATTAGAGTAGCTGGTATTTGCGTGCAGTGGCTGGTTCATGGCCGCTGAATGGGATTGCGACCCGCTCTCACAGCAACAGTTTCTAATTGTATTAACCAGCCATGGCTGTGCCTTCTTAGCCAGTGGCCTGTGAAACCCTCTTAACTTGTTCTCTCTGGCTGCCGATAGCCAGATGGAGGCTTCTGGGGTGGCCCCTTTGGTTTCAGCTGGAGTCCAGGGACAGATTATACTTTAATGCAGCTTTTAATAAAGGCTTTAAAGTTGCAGTTACATGGGTCTGGAGGAATCCTGGGCGGGTGGGGGGGAGGGCTAAAGCAGCTCTGAAGCCATGTTTAGAGTTGCTGGTAAACAGGATTCAGAACAGCCTTTAGGGTTTTATGTTTGGGATCATGTAGAATCTGTGGCATATGTTTCTGGCCTTGTCCCTCTGTAGAAGCGCATGCTGTGAAGGGAGGGAGGTTTATTAAATTATTAGTCATTAGTTCCATTACAGTTTGCTCATTATTGCAGGAGGTAGAAGAGAATTGCTGGCCAGTCTTTTTTCCTCGCTTCTATGCTGAAACCATTAAACAGGAACTTTAATGTTGAGATTCAGGAGGGTGCATGGTTTGGCTTTGCTCTGGCTTTGGATCCTGTGGGAGATCCATGGTCATCCTTAATAGTATTGGTCACTGGAGCAGACAGTCTGCAGATAACAGCTCTGTGGCTTTACCCATGTGCAGCTATAATTCATCTGGACATCTGAAGTGAGAACTGTCACAGTGGCAGAAAAACTGACAAAACTAGGGGCCCCTCTGGCTGTAGCCCAGCAGGTTTGGGTTCACAATAAGCACACAAGTTCTGTGTGTTGCATTTGGTGGGCTAGTGGTTGGTGTTTCTTGAGCGCGGAGGTGGTGATGAGATCTCAATAGAATTTTGTGTGTTGGATACAAACAGGCTGCAGGTGTCTGAGAGGCTGTTCCTCTTGGGGGCTTCTGCCCCAGTGACCAGCTCTACTGCCGCTGCACAGTATCAGGTTTGGTTTTGTACGTAGGTGGTTCTCACTACCCTCTGGGGCTGACTTCCGAGTCTTCCAGTCCTGTGCTCTATAACTTTTCTGTGTTTTGGGGGAGCCCATAGTGCCATGACAGTACTAGTGCAGGTTGGGCATGTTGGCATGTTGGCCAGGTAGAAACCCAGCCCACATAGAGGCACTGTCAGGAGACAGCTGAAGCCACCCATATGCTGCTCTGGGCCGGTTGGGCCGGTCCAGGCACCAAAGGGCTCTGTGCTCTCCTGGGACACGCTGACTCTGGCTCCTGTTGAAGCTGGTCCTGGTCCTGACCTGGCGCTTGCAGAAGTGCTGGCAGTGCCTCTTGGAAAGGCCAAGCTATGGCTCTGCTCAGGGTCACTGCGATGCAGCTCAGCTGGTTGCCGTGGCCCTCTCGCTGCCTCAGCTGCGGTTCTAAGTGGTGTCTACCTGGGCAAAGAAGGCTTGTCCTTGGCCCTGCTGATTAAAAATTGAGAATAAAATGTACAGTTTTGATTTTCTCCTGGAAGAATCCGTAACACAGACTTTGACCTCTTTCCTGGTGGCTTAGTTCCCTTGGGAGCCATGTCCTCGGGGAATTTCATGGAAGATGAAGGGGAGGAAAAACAAGACAGCTTCCTGAGGTCCACTGGGAACTCCCCCTCAGAGCCTTGGGCCCTGCAGAGAACAAGAGAGTGAAGAGAAGAAGGCCCCTCCCTCTTTGTCACAGGAGGCAGAGCCCAGGGCCAGGCCTGAGAGCCTCTGGATCTAGGAACAGCATGCTGGGGCAGGGGTGGAGAGTCTGCTGCCACTGGATGACTGGTGCACCATTCAGAATTCAGGGAGCCTGATACCTAAGGGCCTTCCCTCAAGTGGGGTGCTCAAAGTGTCCCTGCATGCATAAGGGGGTTTCTTTAGCACCTGGCTATCACTCCCGGTAGGGCCAGGAAAGATGGTCAGATTCTTGTGTTCTCATAGTCTTGTGTTTCAGGAGAAGCAGGGGGTGACCTGTGACTCTTGAGGGTGAGAGTTCCAGCACCTTCTCTAGGGATAGTGCTGTCTGCCTTCTCTGATGTGGCAGGGTGGGGGAGAAGCTTAGCATGGGCAAGTCCCTAGGTGCTGTTGTTGATGGTGTGTGGTGCCAGAGCCTTGGGTTAGCATGGTTGGGCTGGTCACCAGAGGCCATCTGATTGTTCTCCTCACCCTGTAGCTGTTGGTAGGAAGCTGGCCTGGCTGTGTTGCAGCTGACCTATGAAGATAGCAGGTGCCAGAGGGTTCCTGGAGCTGGTGTGATTGGCCAGTACTGGCACAGGCAATCAGCAGAAAGGAATCCACTTGCCCAGCTCATCCCACCCACTTTTTCAGGTGGGTGTTTTAGGGAGCTGTGGGCAGCATGGGGCCCCTGGGACTCTGCAACTGATTCAGACCCCAGTGGGGTCTGTCCCCTTTTTTTAAGCATTGCAGGCCCCGGAAGAGGTGGTGAAGTGACAGGTACTGATTTGATAGTGGAGCTCTGATGTGTGTGCATGTGCACACATGAGCATATGTGTACACATGTATGTGGTGCTATGTGTGTATTTTAGAGGCACTTTGGGGCCAGCCCCTGGGATACCATCATTAGTAGGATGGCCGTCTGGACAGCCTGCACTTCTCTTCCCTCCAGCACCTGTCACCACGTGTTGCCTGCCATATCACCAGCATTTGAGCTATGGCCGTTTGGATCCGTCCCCTTTGTGGAGCAGCCAGGGCAGCAAAGGCTGCTTCTCCCAGCTGACCAGCCTCTATAGCCCTTGTCCCCACGCCATGTCCTATAGGTGTTGACTCTGGCTCACAGGCACTCGGTCTCTGATGTGCTGGTGGATGTGCCTGGGTGGTTACTGGGCCGCTGGGGCTGTGGAGAATAGTCATCTGCAACATCTGGCCTGGGTTGGGGGAGTGCTTTGCCTGTGTTTACTGTCCCAGTGGCTTTTGCCTCGAGTGAGTGACTTGTTGGGGAGTTCAGCTTAATCAGTGGGGCTGACTGGCCTTGATGTTCAAGGTCAGAATGAAAGCTGGTATTCTGGGCTTTCATGGGGCACCGTTGGCAGGGAGAGGTGGGTGCTTTGGAAGCTATGTTCTTGTTGTTGGACTGAAGCTTCCATAGGTCCAGGCCCTGCGGGCTGGGCCTTGCCCCACAATGCCAGGCAGCCAGATCTGGCAGGAAAGGCTGGTAAGCGACCTGACTGCTGAGGAGCATGAGGAGGCCCACTGGGACCCAGATCACCCTTCGCTCTGGTGGTGGCTTGGGCCCCGCTCAGGGAGTACTCACAGTGTCACTGCAGGAACAGTGGGAAG